GAGCACACGGGTGACCAGATTGAAGAGGTAGCAGCTGGACGAAGCACACGTTGTACAGAGTTTGCCACGTCGAGCTTTGCAACGATTGTTCTTTTGCATCAATGGCACCAGGGTATGCGCAAAGATGCCAAATGGAAGAAGCCGGCAGAGGAGGTATCCAAGCTGGCCGGGGAGTTGCTTCAAGGCCTCGCTTCCTTGTTCCTGCAGACCCCGCAGGACTTCTCATTCACGTGGGACGGAAACACTCTGGTGCTGCCGTTCAAAGGAGGTTCGCTGGACGTGGACGAGGTTGTACTGCAAAACAGTTTACTTGCTAAAGTACTACACCGCGATCGTTCCCGATTCATGGACGTGCTGCAGGATGTGAATGTGGACTGCACCCGTCGGACAATTGGAGACACTCGCAAGTCATCTAGTTTGAGGACGAAGTACTACTTGTTGGCGGCTTTGGCACGTGCCATGGATTCGTCGGACGACACGCATTCCTGCTGGACATCTTTGAATGTGAAGCAAGTGATGCAGCTTAGGAGAGAGGTTTCGATTCGAGGGTTTGGAGGGTTTGAAGGGTTTGGAGGGGTCCGGGGTTTTAAGATGTAGGGTTGTGTCTTGAAAGCCCGAAAATTGATATTCCCCCTGTTGTTTCAGGAGCACCTCCGGATATCGTCGGTCGTCCACGAGTGTTCGACAAGAGGTTGCGAGTTCATCGAATGCCACACGCAGGACACTTACCTCCACATTGCAAGGACATGCGTTCACCGTGCAGGACAGCAGCGAACAGCAGGACGAACAAAATATCAAGAAGCACGCTTCTATGGACGCACACAGGCTAGCACGCATGGAGCGATACGCCTATGTCACGCAGGGCAAGTCAGATTTCCTCTCGACGGACATTTTGTGCGTTGTGGCAGATGCAGTGCACGTGGGAAGTGACGATTGGCTGAACATCATGGTGTACAACCACACGACGGACAAAGTTTGGGTCTGCCCGCCGCAGGCGCTTTTTTTTTTGTTTAGCAACACATATTTCTGAGGCGTTTTAGGCAAGAGGCGAGGTACGTCAGAGCCTTGCTTAAGTTGACCTTTTTGGGTGCCGTTTTCGTAGCTTCTGGGTCCGACCAAATCGTTTTTCCGAGGGGAGGTACACGTATCCCCGCTCAGGCTCGGTTTGGGGCGGAGTCTTTCTATTGTATTTTATATAAAGATAGGTACACGTATCCCCGCTGACCCCTGGGTTTCGGGATTGGCCTGATAAAGGCTCCCGGCCGCCCTTCTACTGATGAGTAGGTACGCACAGCCTTGCTTAAGTTGACCGGGTCCCGGGTGGAGGCCGAGGAACGCATTTCGGCCACATTTTGGCTGCATTTCGGCCCCCAAAAAGGTACGCCAGATCCCCGCTTAAGTTGACCGGCCGGTCCCCCAAAAAAGGGCCCCTGGGTGATTATATGGTAACAACCTCTGTCGTTTGTTTTGCATGCTGTTGCTGACAAGCTCTTCCTCTAAGCTTTGCTTCACATTTTTCTCTGTGTAGTCAGACCACGCAGCAGGTCCAGAAATCGTCCGTCTTGTCGGCTGAGCAGTGGAAAGCTATGTGGAACAAGGCTTCCAAGAAGTTCCTCGGGATCGAGAAACCCGTTGGACCTGGTCATGCGGAGGACCGGCTGGCCACACTGTCTTGGATGCAGGACATAAACCACGGCTTGCGACCCATTGGCTGGACTTTTGGCTGCTGCCAGAGCACGCCGGCCGGCCCCGCGGAGGACGACACGAAGGCTAAACGTGCACCGATCATGATTTTGTGCACCGACCAAGAAGCAACACAGCTGGCGGCTGTCTCCTTCTTGAAGAACAAAAAGAGCCTCTGGATCGAACACGTCTCGGACCCCGCCCACAGGTCGCACAACGACGTGGCTTTGGCCTTGTCGGCCGCTGGACTCCTGAAGTTCTGCACATGGTGCATCTCGCTGTACAACATCAGGTATGGACCCTGGCAGAAGGGCTCGTGGGCGTTGAAGATCCAGCAAGCCGCAAATCGCATGAAGGACAACATGGACCCCTCGGACCCGATATTGCTCCTTTTCTTCCCGGACATTCTGCTGGACGCCGGCCTCTCCCCCCTGGACGACAACACGGAGGAGAAACGCAGGTCGTTTTTGCAGACATTACCCGACATTGACTGCATCCGCATCAAGGGCACGAAGGCCAGCAAGAGTCGGTTCAATTCCCTGACGACGGCCCACAGCGCGCTGGACAAAGAGTGGTCGGTCTTGGCTTTAGTTCTCACGGTGGTCTGCTTGGAGCACAACTGGGTAGTTTCCACTAAGGACCTCTTCTCGCAGGACAGCAACCAGGCCCGTGCCTCGGTTCCATATGGTGGAAGCAAGTCTTCTGCCATACATGAGGCCAAGCAAGGCATGGACCAGGAGCGGAAGGGCAGCGCGAACAGTCTACACTTAATGACGAAGTTCGTGATCTCGCAGGACAACAAGGCGACAGCCAGGATGATGTTCCAGGTCTTGCAACCCGAAGAGCTTCGTTGTTCGCTCATGCTCAAGCAGCTGCGTTCCAAAGGCATGACGAAGGACTACTACTCTGCCTGGGCACACTGGTCTTGGATGAGCACTGCAAAGGACCACGTCAGGACTTTGTCGAATTTGGAAGGTTTATCTCGTGTCGGCCTCGACCTGACACTGGCACGCGCACAACCCCCGGACGAGACAGAGCTTGTCTGGCAGGACTCGCTCGCAGGCCAAATGACGCAGTTGACACTACAGATCCTGCGGCTGCGGGCCGGGGCACAGCTGTACCATACTGGAGGTTTCGGTGCGACCGCAGGACTAGTCCATGCTGAAGAGCAGTTCCGTCGGGCAAGCTTGGATTTTTTCAAAGAGATGCAGTCTTGTATCCAGGACACGCACAGTGGTGGTTCTCGTATGGCAAAAAAATTGCTCGAAGGTCATTTCTCCCAAGGGCCGATTAGTCGGTACATCCTCGCCGATCTTTGCACTACCCGGTTTCAGAGCCTTACGGAGGACGTTGCACACGTATTGACCAGCATTTGGTCGGGCCTCTTGAACACGAAGATCATCGAAGACTGTAATAAAGTCCAGCGCGAGGCCGAGCAACGACATTCGTCTTCGAAGGACTTGGGTCGTTTGGACGGATGGAAGGCTGTGACCCAACAGGCCGTGGTCAAGATGTACGAGAGGGTGGAGGCACTGTCAACGGAGCTCTACCACACGCCGGCAGCGTTTGACGTGGCCAAACTTTTCTGCAAAGACACCGAGAAGAAGAAGATTCAAGCAGTTCGTCGTCGTTCCGATTCGACGGTCAGCACGCAGGTCAGTGCCTCGGAGGTGCAGGAAGCACAGCTTCTTGCAGACGTGACGAAGACGAGGGACTGGGTCTCCCACAACCACGCCGAGGAACAGGAGGTTTTGGCTGCCTTCAGTTTACTGATGAAGGCGTGGAGGGCCAAGCGATGGTCGCTTTGTGAAGAAGGTTGGTGCTCTGGACTTTTGCCCGAAGGACATGTTGTACTGGCAGGTGCAGACCCGTTGTTCATCGTTCGGACATACCGTTTGGCTGCACTCGCATGGCCCGGCAAGATCGTTAAGGACAAGGACCATGAGTTTTTCGAATTCAACATGGGCGTTCGGTCTCTCTTTTGGATGCACAGCACATCTTTGGACTTGGAAGCGTTGCGGCTGCGAGTTGTTTCACCTCTGCGTGCCTCGGCTGCAGTACAGTTGAACATTGTCAGCCCGACACGGACATTCTCTACATATATATTCGTCCTATAATGAGTGACGATGATTGATTGACACGGAAGGCTTCTCCGGTTCAGATTGTAAGTTTCGGCCCGGGGGGGGTAGCACTGAAGCTATTTTTTATGGGTTTCTGAACAACTCAGGCGATTCGACAGTCAAGGATTCGAAGTTTCACAGAGTTAGGTTGAGTAGCCCAGGATGGCACGTGCGTCGAGGTTTTGGGTATTGACGAAAGGAGGGTGTGGTTGTGTGTACTGCTACCACTTTTTTGGCCATACTACTAGTGCTAGCACTAGTGCTAGCAGTAGTATTAGTAGTAGTAGTAGTAGTAGTAGTAGTAGTAGTAGTAGTAGTAGTAGTAGTAGTAGTAGTAGTAGTAGTAGTAGTAGTAGTAGTAGTAGTAGTAGTACTAGTAGTACTAGTAGTACTAGTACTAGTAGTAGTAATACTACTACTACTAGGACTGTTGCTGAGATTCCTTCTACTACTGTAAACTACTGCGATTGCTTGTAGTAGTAGTACTACTACTACAAGTACTACTAGTAGTAGTAGTAGTAGTAGTACTACTACTACTACTACTACTACTACTACTAGTACCAGTACTACTACTCCTACTACTAGTATTACTACAACTTCTTCTACTACTACTACAACTACTACTGCTACTACTGCAACTACTAGTAGTAGTAGTAGTACTACTACTAGTAGTAGTACTACTACTACTACTACTACTAGTACTACTAGTACTATCACTACTACTACTACTACTACTACTACTACTACTGCTACTACTACTACTACCACTACTACTACTACTACTACTACTACTTCTACTACTACTACTACTACTACTACTACTACTACTACTACTACTACCCTTTTCGAGTCTTTTTACCAGTCTTCCTAGTGATATCACCGCTTTTTACTACCAGGCGCAAAACTTAACGATTGCGATCATTTTTTACTAAGAGTGTTGCTGCCGCTACTGCTACTGCTGAGGTCGTTCCACGCAGGGCAGCCACCTCAACAACGGCATCGTGTTTTTGGTGGACAAGGAGATGGGCACGTTGGACTTTCACGCCGAGCAGGGCTTCGCTGCCTGTTCTGAGGCTTTGTTGCGCAGGTTGTGCCAGCACATGGGTTGGACCGCCACCCAACCCAAATCAGGTGTGGACGCAGGACATCAGCTGGCTGTTGCCGCCATGCTCAACATGGACAACTCGTTGGTCGAAGAGGACGTGGTTCAACGAATCCTGGCAAGGCATCAGACTGACAAGTGGATGCCGGAGGTCGACGACAAGGACTTGGAAGCCGTCGTTCGGGACACGCTGCTCATTGGCGAGCAGGACAAGGCCCTCAAGGAGCTCAGTGCCCGTCGGTCCACGGTTTCGGCCAAAAGTCTACGACCAAGGTATGCACGATGTACAAGAACGCCGTCTCGGACCTGGACAAGGACTTTTGGAAGGCCGGACAGGACACACGCCGACGCAAGACTCAGAAGGCCGAGAAGGACAGCAAAAAGCTAAAGCAGCAGTACGACCGGGTGTACGCAAAGCTGAATGCCACGACGGACGAGCTTGTGAAGAGCATGGTTCCTGATACTGTACAGGTTTGGACGGACCCAAAGAATGGTCGTTGGAAGGTGTCGTACAAGACAGCTGTAGTCAGCATTACACGTAGTATTTCATGGACACAAGTAGGTGAAGCTGCCGCCGGTCGAGCCTGTGTAACACAAGGTTGGTCATGGGTGGAGCACCACGAAGGACGTGATCCACCCGAAAACTTGCAGGAGCGATTGACAAGGTTCGACTCCTGAGTTCACTCGGACTTGACATGCCCGTGATTGGACTTTTTCTCCTCGTAGCACATCGTCGTTCAGCATCGATGCACACATTCGTCGGGCCCAAAAGAGGATTATTCCGCTTTGCACGCGTGTTTGATCCGTGCAATTGATGCTTCTAGTCAGACTTCTGTAATGCACTGCTACGTGTGTGAGACAGTGGCGGTGATGTGGGTTCAAGTTCAGGAGCATGTCGTCCATGCATTGAGCACGTATTTTAAGTAGGCCAGACATGTACTGATATGGCGAGCCAACGCGCCCTCACTCACCTTTTGTGTAACTTTCCCCACGGACACACAAGATAATGAGTAGTCATGTAGCGCAACTGGAAATTGTACCAGAAATGTTTGTACTTGAAACCTAGGTTTTTATTCTCGGTGGGAGTCCATGAGAATTCAGTTTTGTTGAAATAAATGGAACGGAAAGAGTCTCTGTACATGTCTCGACTCGTGGTTCCATCCTCGAAGTATTACTCGTGCCATGGTGGCCCGGCCGAAGTTACAGGAGGTGGGACTGTCACGACGACCCTCGGCATACGCGCTGTTCATGCAGGACATGTGCAAGGACTCTGTGGACCCCAAATCTCGTCGTCGACTGTCCCGGAAAACATCACTTCGCGGTTCAATACATTATCTGCGCAAGTGGCTTCTTGGCTGCAAAATCAATATAGATACTGACACATGTGCCCCTTGCCTAGAACCCCAAGTCATCTGAAGCCACGGGAAGTAAAATCTTGGCAATTCTGGTCAGGAACCCGAATATGCCATCTTAGCTACGTACCAAAGTTATTTACTTCAGACATAATTAATAAGATGTAGCTAAAAGTCCTAATACAAGTCATGTTACTTTTTACTCGGGGATTACCTTTTCACCCAATCGTCCAGTAAAATTCCTCTGTTCCCCGAGGCACAACCGAAAGGACCTCCGTGACGAGTACACACGCAAGGCCAGGCAGGGCTACCAGGAGAATCGGGTCCAACGCGAAGAATTTCGACAGGCCAAACACACGGAAGTTCCCCCCGCTTCGTTCATGGACAGAGCACTGCCGGACGTCGCAGAGTCGCAGGACTTCGACGGTCGTGGCATTTTTCGCTACACGGCCGAGGACCCACTGGTGCAGGAGAAACATATGGGTCGCGGCACGTACGGGGAGATTTTCGCTTGCACGTACCAGGGCCTGAAGTTAGCCTTGAAAGTGGCCGTTCGCACGCCGGACAGGGAGACTGCACTGTTGGACGTGCACCAAGACGGTCTCGAAAAGACGTGGGACTTGACCCGTGAGTTCACTCTTTTGAGCCAGATAGGACCTCATCCGAATGTTCTGCGACTCTATGCCTTGCTGACATCCTCGACTGGGCACACGGGAATTCTAATGGAGCGGGCTTCCTGCGACCTCTTGAAGGCCACACGGGACTTGAAGACGGACGACCTTCAGGACGGAGTTCCCTGGAGCACACGACGAGCCCAAGTAACGACGTACTTTCGGCAGACACTCGCAGCTCTTACATTTGTGCACAGCAAAAACATCGTACATTTGGACGTGAAAACGAACAACTTCCTCGTGTTTCTCCTCGGCGAGCGGGTGGTGCTGTCCGACTTTGGTTTTTGCCGAGCTTTGCCACTCAATGGAAAAGCAAAAGTCAGAGCTGACGAAGTCTACACGACGTACTACCGGCCGATCGAGTGCCTTTACTCCGGGGACGGCAAGGCCTGGACCATGAATCCTAGTCGAAGAAAGTTGAAAGTAGTAAGCCCGGTGCGTATGTTCATTCTAGTAACACTTTATGATTTTGCGGATCTGAACTGCAGGACCAGATCAACCTCAGGCATTCCCGGATCCAACTGATGTCATTACTACTAGCTTACTAGCAATGGCCATTGTAATTGAAAACTTGACACAAAGATCTGATTCTTGATTCATAGAAGAGTCATGTCAGCACATGCAGTCGTAGACTCAGCTTCTTAGTCAAAGACATAGCCTGAAAAACTTCATATCTTGCTAGTAACAGCCATGTCTTTAAGAATTGACTTGTTTTTTGGCAGGAAGTATGACTATGTGTTTCATTTTGTTGGCGTTTCCCTTAACTGCTCAGCAGCTTCACTTTGATGAAAGAGGTGGAGATCGGCCCGAAGGCGGACATGTGGGCACTCGGTGTGGTGACGTGGGATTGCTACGCGAAGACGACACGCTCGCTGTTCACTCCCGACCCGAAGGGCTTCGTCAAGCACACGCCGACCATCTCACAAGCGCTCGTTCGTTTCCAGACTGCATGGCGCGAGAGAGCACGCGACCTGCACTTGCTGGACGACGACATCGCTGCACACGTTTTCGGTTCATGCTTCACATTGGAGCAGGACAGGCGCAGCTCACTCGATTTGTTGAAGGATTTGCAGGGCCGTTTCACGAGGACAATTCAGTCGCTGGACGAAGAAGAGGAGCCGTAGCAAGTCCCCGGTGTACGTAATGCTATAACTTTCCAACGTGTCTTTCGCAAAGTATGATTTTATGTCAGACAAGAGATGACGAATGTTGTCGCCGGTGGACTCGCCCGTGCAAGTTTTGCATGACACACGTTGTTCGATGACCCGATGTTTCGAATCATTGAATCAGTTCATTGAATCTCGTAAGAGAATTAACTTAAGAAGATTGCAGAAAACCAGAATAATGTATTAGACTTTGTGGTTGGGTTCTTTTTGTTCGGTTCCCCGCTGTCACACGATTGACGACCGACTTGTGCATGTCAAGGACGGCCCTTCGGCAAGGATAAAAAGGGCCGCTCATTCTGCCATTTGGAATCTGTAGGTTCTACAGAACATGTACATGCAGAGGCGTGTCTGAAGTCCTAAGGATAATACACCGCTGTTCCCCCACACTCCTTGGCTAGATGCTTTCCATTTCCATGTTGCAGGCCCTGGGGCAGAGGCCACACCCTTCTCACTCTGGCAGCGACACACGGAGCACTTCAAGGACGGTTTCGGCCGCACAGTTCAGTGCAGTCTTGGATGGAATGTTCAGATGTCCTATGTTTTGAAATGCTGCTTACACTATGATGTTAGTTCGTTCTTGTTGAATGTGGTTTTAGTTTTCGGTTGGACTAGTCGCAGAGAGGCTCCCAATGGATTTCTTTTACTGTCGATTTGGAAAGCTTTGTTTTTCAATGTTTCTTGCTGCTGCTGGAAGAATGGGGTCAAC